CCGGTATATTGAAGAATTTTGCAAACCAAAAATAATATCCTCAGAATGCAAAGAAAAATAGCTGAAAGTAAAAGAAATCAATATAAACAGTATTTCGCTTTGTGTGCAAAATGGACAAAATTAATACTCCAACTATATGCCAAGGCTTAAAGCAGCAACAACGCTATTTGAAATAAGTAAGTGAAAATAATTAAGTATCTGAACGAAGAATTCTAGTCTCTTCCCAAATTTGGCTGTCCTGACTAATCACCTGTTAGGCCTAATTAATTTTAGAATGTTTTACAGTATTGCAATTGTGATGTATTTTAATGTGTGATATGATGAGGCTGTTGACGAATTGTGGTTGTTTTTTAAATTAATGAAATTGTTTTTTTACTTTGTTGTTTTAGAAAAACTGATGATATAAATAAAATAAATATAGACAATAAATGACTGAAACCCAGGAATAAATTTGATACTCCTTATAGTAGCAATCGGTGCTCTAGCTTAGGTTTTACCATTCATAATGGACTTTGATTTGCAAGTTTAATGATTAGATTTTCTTCACAAAACTGTTTAAAAAGTGATTAAATTTCTAAATCATTTCCACGCAACACAGAAACTGAATATTCATTGGTGTTACTTGAGTACTTTGATAACGAGGAAGGATTCAATGTTCTGTACAAAATAGACACCAGACTTTTAGCCGCCCGGCCGTACATAAGCTTCAACTAGTCCTTGATGTGTCTCTAAATGAAAAACGAGAGTCACTATCTTTCAGTGCAAATGTACTTTCGCCAGCAAGATATAAAAATGTCATAAAACCAGGGTACGTGGCCCGAAGCGTCGGAATATTAAGCACTTTCTTATAGTCAGGTATCTTAAAAAGAAAGCTCTCCGGTCACGTGAATTTGCTGCATAGCAAAGAGTCACGAAACCGTGCCGGTTTGTCTGGTTCCGCACGTTAAAATGCAAATTCGCAGTGGTATTTTTTGAAAGAAATTAAAAGACTTTGGCGCCTGGATCGAATGGAACAAAAGGATCGGTAAGCGTCTCAAATCTAAAGGAGACATTAGAGTTGTTCCACTGATTGCAACTGCTTATTTGAAAAAAAATGAACAGCAAAGAAGAACGCACGCAGAAACAGTGCAAACGACATGATTTGAATTTCCGGGAGCCCATTGATGAATCTCAGCACGGGAAACAATATGACGCATATTACCGGGCAGGTTTGCCTCCCAACCGCCTCCGGAAAACAATTTTGACGTGTGCTCCAGACCGTATCCAGGCCAGATCCAGAACACGTGTTATGCGGCCGTCTGTGGCGTGGCATTATTGCGACATTGCTAAACATAATTTCGGAACCCTGTTTTGAGATTCATGGCCCTTCTACATCTACCCTCTGCTCTGTATTATTACTTTGGATTTCAGCCATTTATTGCGTTTTGTATTGTACCGTGGATGGCCGAGTATCAAACTCTTTCTTCAGCTTCCAACTTTTATTCTACTCGGTATCACTTTAAATACGGAACAGGAACAAACTAACTTCTAAATTAACGTCAACTT